AGACCAGGTTCTGATTGAACTCATGACTTAGATAGACCAGGCCATAGAGCCCCGGGAGCTAACCACTCCCCTGCTTTCTTGCCTCTCCAGTGCCTGAGGATTTGTGGAATTATCCGCCCTCAAACAAACCTCTGTGACATCTCCGCCTCCATGTCTTGGCAATGGCGTCACATTTCCCATCTCTCAATGGTGCTAAACAGGGGTCATGTGCATCTAATCTCTGAGAGTACGTTGCCTAGGGAAAGTCCTGCTCTGCTGCCAGGGATACAGGGCCAAATATTATCCTCATTTACACTGGTGTAAGTCTGGAGAGACTCAGCGGAGTCACTTGGGATTGACACAGGTGTAACTTAGAATCTGGCCCTCGCTCTAACAGATTAAACCCAGCCTGTTGCATCTGGAGCGGTGTGAAAAAATTCTCACTGCTGATGACACTGGCTTAAAATAAAAAGTCATTTCTATGGATTAGTAAAATAGCCAGACAGTTGTGGCTCCCATCCAGAGCAGCTCGTGAAAGAGCAGAAGGCAGGGGAAGCATTTCGTTTGCTGGAAAGAACAGGTGAATTGCCACCGGAAATGAAGAGACCAAAATAAATTCCCACGTCCCTTCTTGCCCCGGGATTGGTGTTTGGCTTTCACCATTTCCTGTGTGAGGGTGAGTAAATTTCAGTTTCCTCTAGTGAAATTTGGTCCTGGATCAAACGGACGAGTACTCCGCAAAGAAATATGCTGAAGCGTTTAGAGAGGCAGCTTGGCCTAGTGGATAAAGTAGTCAGGTGACCTGGGTTCTAGTCACAGCTGTTCTACTGTGTGACCTTCAGCTACTCACTTCTCCTCCGTTTCTCTCCATCTCCTACTGATTTTATGCCCTTTGGGGAGAAAGACTCTCTCTTCCTGTGCACTGGTGGAGTACTGAGCACAGTGGGGTCCCGATTTTGGCCGGGGCCCCTAGGGATGAGCACCACTGTTCCCTATTATCTGATTGGAGGCTCAGCTTTGAAACCCAGCGATGATCCCTCACTGTCAACATTCACCATTTAATCACTGATCATTTTTCTTGGCTTAGATGGGGAAGTGAAGCCCAAGGGGCTGGGAACTGGGAATGGCCAAAGGGAAGGAAATGCAGCGAAAAGGATTTGCAAAAACCGAGCCGATGGAGAGATGCAGAGAAAGAGGGTAGAGAAGGAAGAGTAACGAGCAGAGATAGCCATGGCTTGAAGATGGGGAGATTTTCTCACTGAGTGATGCATGCAATAATGAGGCACAGAACAATTAATAAATAACTAGACATTTAGTTACTACATAAAAGCCGCATCCTCCCCTTGAGCTCGACGCAAGCCTTCTACCGATGCCAACGGGCATTCCTCAGGACACTGGCGGGAATATATCACCCTCAACTTATCCCCCAGCCTATAGACTATGCTCAAGCATGGAATTCAACTTGTTCCTTAGGAGATTGACCCCCTGACCCTAGAACTGGTTGGAAAATATTCATCTCACGGGTTTTTCAGTGGAGAATGAGGTTTCCATCTAAATTTGAACATTTTAAAAAAAGTGTCCATTTCAGCTGAATTGTGTTTCAAAACCCCACCCCGCCCGAACACAGCATTTTCATAATGCCGAAATGGTCCATTTTGACGTCTGCGGAATGGAATGGTTTGATTTTTGTTTTGAAATGACTTTTTGGAATGAAATTCTTTTTTTGCAATTTTTTAAGTATAAAAAAGGTCTAAATTGGAACAAAGTGTTACCATTTAAGCAGAACAAAACATTTTAATGAACCCAAAACAAATTTCGAGGGGGGGGCGTGATTTTGTTTCATGTGAAATTTGTCATTTTTTCATTTGGGTCCATTTCGGAATGGAAAAAAAATGTGGAAATGCAACATTTCCCAGGGAATGGAAAATCCCATTTCTGCCAGCTCTAACAGACACACCACGACAGCATCTACTCCCATCAAAGGGGATGAGAATCTTTCCACTAACTTCAATGGCTTTGGGTTGGACACATGGAGAAACAGAACCTTCCTCATACACGCAGAAGGTCTGAATCACAACTTTTCGGTTTTCAGTTGCCAGAAACGGCAACATTTTTTCCAGATTTTTTTTCACAAAAATCTGAAAAATCCCAATGAAAATGCTCACCATCTCCTCTCAGTTTTGGCCTGTTTCGACACAAATGCCATTTTCTGTCCAAAAAAATGTTTTGGACAGACATTTTTTGTCAGTTCTACGATTGTACTTTTCCCATCCACAGCAAACACTCGTGTCAGTGACCATGCGGGCTAGAACACTTAGTCCTTAACACCACCACGGTTGTGCTCGTTCTGGTCTCTTTTTTGCCCCTAAGTATTCCACGGATACAAACCTACCCTACAAACCCATGATCACACAAACAGCCTGCTGAAGGCAATCATTCCCCTCAGCTCCTGTAAGGCCTTATCCTGCAGGCTGACCTAAGCAAGGCACCAGGGCCGGCTCCAGCCTTTCTGCTGCCCCAAGCCAAAAAAAAAAAAAAAGCGAACGGGAGCGGCGGGGGGAACTGGGGGAAAAAAAAAAAGCCGCGATCGACGGCGGCAGTTCAGCAGCAGGTCCTTTGCTCCTAGAGGGAGTGAGGGACCTGCCGCCCCCGAATTGCCGCAGGTGCCGCCCCTCTCCCTTGGCCACCCCAAGCACCTGCTTGTTAAGCTGGTGCTTGGAGCCGGCCCTGCAAGGCACTCAGCAACTTTCGGGATCAAACCTTATGACTGTGTGTCAGGCAGTTCATAGAATCATAGAATCACAGAATACCAGGGTTGGAAGGACCTCAGGAGTTATCCAGTCCAACCCCCTGCTCAAAGCAGGACCAATTCCCAACTAAATCATCCCAGCCAGGGCTTTGTCAATCCTGACCTTAAAAACCTCTAAGGAAGGAGATTCCACCACCTCCCTAGGTAACCCATTCCAGTGCTTCACCACCCTCCTAGTGAAATAGTGTTTCCTAATATCCAACCTAGACCTCCCCCACTGCAACTTGAGACCATTACTCCTTGTTCTGTCACCTGCTACCACTGAGAACGTCTAGATCCATCCCCTTTGGAACCACCTTTCAGGGAGTTGAAAGTAGCTGTCAAATCCCCCCTCATTCTTCTTTTCTGCAGACTAAACAATCCCAGTTCCCTCAGCTTCTCCTCATAAGTCATGTGCTCCAGCCCCCTAATCATTTTTGTTGCCCTCTGCTGGACTCTTTCCAATTTTTCCACATCCTTCTCGTAGTGTGGGGCCCAAAACTGGACACAGTACTCCAGATGAGGCCTCACCAATGTCGAATAGAGGGGAATGATCACATCCCTCGATCTGCTGGCAATGCCCCTACTTATACAGCCCAAAATGCTATTAGCCTTCTTGGCAACAAGGGCACACTGTTGACTCATATCCAGCTTCTCGTCCACTGTGACCCTTAGGTCCTTTTCTGCAGAACTGCTTCCTAGCCATTCGGTTCCTAGTCTGTAGCAGTGCATGGGATTCTTCTGTCCTAAGTGCAGAACTCTGCACTTGTCCTTGTTGAACCTCATCAGGGTTTCTTTTGCCCCAATCCTCTAATTTGTCTAGGCCCCTCTGTATCCGATCCCTACCCTCCAGCGTATCTACCACTCCTTCCAGTTTAATGGCACTTGCTATCAGAGATGTGTAAGTTCTCCAAGTGCCATTAGACAGAGAGATAAAGAGTCTCCGTATATACACTTCCCAGGCACAGATCATCTTATCTTAGCATGCACATGAAAAAGGTAAAGTTTAGCATCATGATGAAGCATTGCACTTGCTATCAGAGATGTGTATCGATGAAATCAGGCATAAAACTAAGGTTCTGGGATACACCCCTTCAGTACATCACCTGCCAGCTACATAAGTACACTGTCCTCTCCAGATATTAGCTGCCCAGAGCCATATGGTAGATCAGAGGCTTTCTAAAGTCCTTAGAGAAAGCCTTTGTTTGCAGAAATAACTCCTCTTACAGGGTTGCAATGGAAAGAACAAGGCAGGGAAGACTGGAGGCTGGTATTGTCAAGGGGGCAGAGTTAAGGTTGTTTGGGGATCATAGCTGAGACTTTCCCTACTTTCAAAAGTCTGAGTTTCTTGTAAGTTTAACCTTAGCTATGAATTTTATAGCTTGTCAATGGGCATGTTTGGTAACAATAGCATCCTTCCAATGAGTCTTACTTTTCCGTTACTAGTATGGACTTTTAACTTTACCTTCAAGGTTTTCTCTGGGAATGGCTTTAGAACCCACAGGTGCATGATGGGTACCTGTCAGATTCTCAGCAGTATTTCTTCTCCTCCCAAAATGGTTCAGTTCCTTTTGGGAACCTCAAACTCTTAGGATGAGCTTCCCCGGAAAGTTAACACTGATTAACCATGTCATGTCCTCTTCTTGAGGCTAGTCCACACAGCGTATGATAGCCTACTACTACTAAATAGGTAATGGAGTTGCTCCGTTAGCTCGAGTGGCAGAAGCCTGTACTCTTGATGCGACTGTCCTGGATTCAAACTGTGGTGATAAAGGTGGTGGGGGTTTGGTACCCAATAAAGGGAAATTGATTGAGACAGCTGCATATATGCCTCACCCTCGCTGGTGACCACGCTCAGTGTGCACCAACCCACACTCCCAAGGACCTCGTCACCAGAGTCGGTCCGTGGCGGGAAGCAGGCAAGCGAGGGCTGCTGATTAATTGGCTGATTTACAGTCCTCTCTATTGGGGAAATACCATAGGGAGGAGTCAGTGCATGATCCCCGTCTCAGCATCCAGCCCGAGCAGCCAGCCTCGACACTGCAGACCGGCAGTGGGGCAAGAATTTTTTTGTACACCAACACAGCCAGACCATGGAGCAAACCGGCGGTAGCCCTAACACCCCAGGACTAGGAGCTACCAGAGAGCTGTGCTGCAGGGTGCAGAGGTCCCCTGGGAGCTTGCCCCCCATGCAAAGTGGACAGGAATAGCCGCCAGACCCTTTGCTTCTTACCTGTGTCTCTGATAGGTTGAGCTGCCTCGCTAGCTCCGTCCTCTCCCTGCCGACGACATACTGACACCGCTGAAATTCCAGCTCCAGCCTGTACAGCTGCTCGGCTGTGAAAGAGGTTCGGGTCCTCTTGGGCCGGTCCAGATCCAGCCCTTTGGGGAGAACAATCTCCCGGATGGTCCCTTTGGCATCTGTAAGTCAGCACAAGGAGAGCAGCGTGAAGAGAAGGCTCCCGTTCTCAGAGGTCGTGGGTGGGCTCAGCGAGGGCGCAGCAAGAGAGCCGTTTGATTCTCTGCCCAGTTCCCACTGGCTGTGCATAGCAAGAGTTCCAGAGCATCCTGCCCAGAGACTCAGCCCTGAAAAACCCAGTCCCCAAAACCCCAAAGGGCAGAGCTAAGGAGATGTGTCTGGTCCCTTCTGACCTTAAAGTCTCAGAGTCTATGAGCTATTCAAAAACCACCAATTATTTTTGTGGGGGGACTTGAAAAAAATAAATGCTTTTAAATCCAGCCCAGTTGCCTTTCTGGAAGATGCTTCAGCCAAACATGTTACTGGGCTCAATGCAAAGATAAATGGGTGAAATTCTCTGGCCTTTTATACAGGAAGCTAATCTAGCGATCCCTTCTGGCTTTATAATCTACAAATCTGGGGTGGGGGAGTGTCAGAATTTCCCATTAAGATTATTTGATTTTTGGATGAAAAACTTAAGCTGGAAGCAGAAAAATGTTCATCTTTTTAAAAGTGTTCTTGGTCAAAAAATGTGTGATATTTGAAACCAGAAATTTGTTTATGAAACAAAGAAAATATTTCAAACAAGCTGTTTTTCTTTTTAAGACCAAAAGCATTTCGATCTCTCCACTTCTCACAGGAAAACTGCAACATTTTGTCTGAAACAAAAATGTTCCGCACAAATGTTCATTTTTGTCCAAAAGCCGTTTTGCATTGAAAACATGTTCTACCAAAAAAATGCCCACCGGCCCTAGTTGTGGGGTTTGTTCTCCTAGCTGCCTGTCTGCGGCCTGGCTCTCCAAGATGTTGTGCACCTGTGAGGATGTACCTGCAGTGCCACTGAAGGCAATGGGAGGGGAAAGCAGCCAGCACCTTGCTGGATTGGGCCTGAGGTGAGTTTAGGTCACAGGAGAGACCTAACCCAGGTCAGGAGTGAGCAATGGCCGTTACCCATGTCTGTATCACAGACTCCACCACTGCAGTTGGCACCTTCTCATGGGTTTAGCTTCAGACACCGTGTCATGACATAGGGAGTAAGACATAGACTTATATAGTACACATTTATTAGAGAACAGCTATAAAGTATAGATTCCGACACGCCGGCTTCTACCCAGCTCGGTTTCCAACTTTGCTTCCCTTGTTTAGCAGGACCACACCATGTCTGGAATTCTATATCACAGGCTCTCAACCTGCAGGATGGTGAACAGGTGTCAGGGATTTGTAACCACCCTGCCCTTCCCATGTGGTACTCAATGGGAGCTAGGTAGAGCCCAGCTCTCTGGGTACGGAGGAGTGGGAGATGAGCAACAAGGTAAAATAGATCTCACTTAAAAACCTGGAAAAACAACGAGGAGTCCAGTGGCATCTTAAAGGCTAACAGATTTATTTGGGCATAAGCTTTCATGGGTAAAAAAACACTTCTTCTGATGCAACTGAAGAAGTGGTTTTTTACCTACGAAAGCTTATGCCCAAATAAATCTGTTAGTCTTTAAGGTGCCACCGGATTCCTCATTGTTTTTGTGGATACAGACTAACATGGCTGCCCCTGATACTTAAAAACCTGGGTGATCTTGTAACCTTCCATGTGCAGAGTCCGTGGAAGTTCTCAGCATGACAGGTTTGTGAGGCCAGGGCCAATGTTAGCGAAAATCGTCCTTACAAAAAACCCCACAAAAGGTGAAATTCCCTGGTGTGTAACACGTACAACGCACGTAATGGCTTATGTGGGACATAAGTGATGCATATCCCTTGCATTGGTCCTCTGTACAGGGGGAAATTTCCCCCCAAGAGGTATCTGCGATCAGCTCCAAAATTGTGATACAACAGTAAAGCCCTCAGCAGCTAGGGGTAAATGTCCTAGTCAATTTCCCTTTTCCATGGATTGATGGGGAAAGCACAAAGCTCCAGTCTCACTGGATTATATGTTCATTATTTACAGGGTGCCAAAAAAAAGTGCATGGCGCTGGAAAGACTTATAAGGAGTGGAGAGTGGAAAATACCCAGACAAATGTCCTGAAAATATTCCCTCAGATCATAAAGGGCACTGAGCCCATGTTCACTCCTTCCGTGTTTGCTTTCCGCACATATTCGACTGAATGCATTTCCTAGTAAGAGAATGGTCAATGCTAAGCAAACACCAACAAAAATCAATAGACGGGAAAATTTAAACTCGAGATCATGAATGTTCATGCTAGAAACCTGGCTCTAAAACTACACTCATCCAACCGGAAGCAGGAAAAATACAACGTGACTTGGAATCCAGATATCTTGGAGGCCCCCAAATACCAGAGAGAGAAACAGAAAGAGGGGACTTGCCTCTAAGATCAAGCTAAGAATTTGCTTTCTGAAGCACCTAGCACATAGGGGTGGGGAGAGGGGAACTGTAAATTAAAGAGAGAGAGAGATCTGTGGATGGGGGTGAGAGATCTAGAGATCTATGTGACTGATCAAATCTAAGCAACTCAAGCTCCAATTTTAAGCTCTGAATCATTGAGCGCTTACTGATAAGCTGCTCTCACGTGACCTGCAGCCCAAGAATTAGTCACAGAAATTACCTGGTGAACAAAAAAACAAACTGTAACATAAAAAAATTCCCAAGGTGCTAGGGGACAGCTGTGAAAGAGGCTCAGGTCCCCGAATACGGAACTCCTTAGGAAGATCTCTCCCAGGTCTCCTGTGGAGACACGGCCCCTGCCCCAGCACGTTTGCCGTCTAGCACAAGCACACACAAACCAGGCCTGGTTTCTCCGTTGCTTGTGTCACACGGCTGGTGGAGTCTGGGCCTGGGCTTTGTGCCGTCGGCCTTTGGGAAATACCCACGGTGCAGGGGACTAAATCCTCTGACAGTGTCGGGATGTCAAAGTAGCTTCTCTACCATCTCCCTCCTTCCTGCTGACACAGAAGGGGTGGCCTGGGCCTTCTGCAGCTCCCTGGATGCAGGGCCGGCTCCAGGAACCAGCCCAGCAAGCAGGTGCTTGGGGCGGCCAACCGCGAGGGGCGGCAGGTCTGGGTCTTTGGCGGCGGCTCCTTCGCTCCCTCTTGGAGCAAAGGACCAGCCACCGAATTGCCGCCGAAGACTGAAGCGGTGGCGATAGAGCAGATCGTGATCGCGGTTTTTTTTCCTCTTCTTTTTGCTGCTTGGGTGGCAAAAACCCTGGAGCCGGCCCTGCCTGGATGCCATGTTGGCTCCTTTCTCGATGTAACTCGGAGCAGCTTGGGACACCGACAGGGCACAGAGCCGGACTCGGGCGAGGGGAGAGCAAAGGCCACCTTTGCAGCACTCCGTGACTGACCAACTGGGCCATACTGGGCAATAGATGCTCGGGCAAGCGGGAGCTGCGGGAGGAGCACGGCGGGGGCTTGGCAGGCAGAGCGTACATGGGGTAGGGAGCTGCATGCGGGTCTTTAAATATAACAGTAAAAAGCATCTCTGAATCTCCTGCAAATTTACTATTATTCATTCTGATGAGCCCGGAGCTCAGCTCTGGTTTCATCCCCCTTTGCTCCCATCAGTTATGGGCTCAGCCCGGAGCCCTGGCCTTTGAACGCTCACTTGCTCGTTCTGGTTGGGCCAGGAGGGGAGGAGATGGCAGAGCCAGCAAGGGAGGGCAGAGGAAGGGGGCGGCCAGGGAGAGGAGAGTGATGAGGCCGGGCATGGAGCACTGGCCATGGGAATGTGGAAGGAAGCGAGCAGGGCAGGGCAGGCGGGCTTGGAAGTGGAGTGGGGCTGAGGCAAGCGCGGGTAGCCTAGGAATGGGGCTCTTGCGGCTGGTTATGGGGGGGCTGTGATGGGCGCAGTGAAGTGGCCATCGAGGGGGGCAGGGCTCTGTCAACGATTGTGGCAAATCTAAACTCTTCTCTCGGGGTGACTGAGGCTGTAACGAACTCCTTCCAGGGGAGCAGGTGCTACTGCCGCAGACCATGGACCCAATTGTCTTCGGTGGGTCGGGTGACCAGACGTGCAGCTCCGAGGGGCCTTTTCTTATATCCGCTACCACTACCGCCACTGCCACCCCGGGAAAAAATGTGTCCCGATGTTTCACACTTGCTCTCTGGCCACCCTCGCCGTGGGTCCTTGATTGTCCTCTAATTTGCAAGAAACAAGCGGCCCAGGCTTTCAATACATGGCGGCGAGGCCTCGGTTTCTGCATTAAACCCTCATTTCCCCTGACAGTCGCCATTCCCACGCGGAGCCCGTCCTCGTGGCCAGTGTTACAAAGGGGCCCCTCACTCCACTTACAGAGCTGCAGGCTGGGATGGTGATGCTGTCTCCAGCTATGTACCAGAGGGGGGAGGGGCACCGGCCAACTAAACAGGATGTAACTAAGAGAGGGGGTGGAGCATAGCTCCAGCCCATAATACTCTTCTGAGTAACCCAGTTAACCCCTGGGTGACCATTTTACTACAATAGGGTGGGAAGGGTTGAGACTGGCTGACGGGTTACAAATGGGCCGGGCCGGGCCTGTGCAGATAGGCTTTGAGGAGCCACCGGTCCACCTCTTCCTGGCCCCCAGCCCAGCTGGAGCAGAAGCTGCATCAGACCCTGATGACCAGCTCCTGAACCGATCGCCCATGGGGAAAGAGGGTTTAGTGGTAACTCTAGCTGTCTCCAGAATCTTCTCCCGGCCCCACAGCCCTGGGCTGCTGAGATGGCTCTAACACAACGTCTCTCACCCTTTTTGATACCGGGGACAGGCTTGCTGCCTTCCTAAACTGTGTCAGGGAGATCTCAGGGACGGGTGCTGGTCGTTGGGAAACACTGATCTAACACCTGGAACAGCGAGGAGGGGGAAAATACTGTTATGGGGGGAAATCAAATGGAGAAATTGGCAGATCCTTTCCAGCTGCACCTGCAAAAATTCCCTACACACCACACACTGTATGCCACACTATTTGTGTTTAGTAGATACAGTTGACAGCACACATACACAGATATAGGTAACAATGAGTGTGTGTGTGTGTA